GGCCCTCCTCGCCCAGGGCTCAGGGCCCGCGCAGCCCGCCCGCGGCCTGGGCTTTCCGGGAATAGAAATACCGGCCGGCTCTGGCCCCTTAAAGCTGCTTAGGAGGAGGGATGCGCTGGGAACGGTCCAGACACCCCCCACACCTCCTCACCAGGACCCGGCCGGCGCTGAGCGGGAAGGCCCCAGCATCGCTGGGAAGTCCCTTCCCGTTGCTTCTAAAATACAGCCGGAGCCAAAAATCCCGAAACTGACAGTCATCTCCTCCTCGGTCCCCTCCTCCACCTTTGGAGTTGGCCTAGAGTGGCCTCTAGGCTAGAAGCCCCAGGCCCAGCCACCCACCCGGTCCCTACCTGATCCCCCTGGACGCGACTGCCCCACTGCTTGGGTCTGCCAACTGCCCGGAGGCAAAGGTCATGAATTCCTCCTTCTTGTGGTCCTGGTTCCAGCAGCAGGCGGGGCCAGCCCCAGGCTGATTCTGGGGACAAGTCATCCCAGAGCTGACTGTTCTCTCTCTCTCCTTTAGGGGGAGACCACAGAACCTGAGGCCATGCCTCATGAGAAGAGTTTCTTGGTGTCTGGGGACAGCTATCCTCCCCCCAACCCTGGATATCCTGGGGGGCCCCAGCCCCCCATGCCTCCCTACCCAGGGGCCCCTTACCCACAACCCCCCTTCCAGCCTTCCCCCTATGGCCAGCCAGGGTATCCCCAAGGCCCCAGTTCCTACCCCCAAGGAGGTTACCCTCAGGGTCCCTACCCCCAAGGGGGCTACCCCCAGGGCCCCTACCCCCAGGGGGGCTACCCACAAGGCCCCTACCCCCCAGGGGGCTACCCTCAGGGGCCATATCCACAGAGCCCCTTTCCACCCAACCCCTATGGACAACCACAGGCCTTCCTGGCCCAGGACCCTGGCTGTGAGTAGCAGGGCAGGGGCTCAGGGAGGGCAGGGGCTCCAGGTGTCCACAAGCGACACTGACCCAGCCCATCCTCCTCCTCAGCACCTCAGCATGGAAACTATCACGAGGAGGGACCCCCGTCCTACTATGACAACCAGGACTTCCCTGCCACCAACTGGGATGACAAGAGCATCCGCCAGGCTTTCATCCGGAAGGTGGGCCTGGGGCTGGGGTTGAGGGGCAGTGGCACTGGGCAGGCTCTGAGTGGCTCCTTCCTCAGGTGTTCCTGGTGCTGACCCTGCAGCTGTCTGTGACTCTGTCCACTGTGGCCGTGTTCACGTTCGTTAGGGAGGTGAAGGGCTTCGTCCGGGAGAATGTCTGGACCTACTATGTTTCCTACGCTGTCTTCTTCATCTCCCTCATTGCACTCAGCTGCTGTGGGGACTTTCGACGAAAGCACCCCTGGAACCTCGTTGCGCTGGTAACTCCAAAACTGAGCCCCTGGCCCCCAGGGCCCAGCCTCCCCACCCCACACTCTCACTGTTTGCACTGAAGGGCAAGGTTGTATTTGGAGCAGCCCTCATACCCAAGGCTTCATCTCTCCACAGTCGATCCTGACTGTCAGCCTGTCCTACATGGTGGGCATGATCGCCAGCTTCTACAACACCGAGGCAGTCATCATGGCTGTGGGCATCACCACGACCGTCTGCTTCACGGTGGTCATCTTCTCCATGCAGGTGAGGGGTCCTGGTGGTGGTCTTCTCCATGCATGTGAGGGCTCCCAGGTGGGGTTGCTGGCCTGGGGCCTTGCAGGGCGGGCACCCAGAGCCTGCTGTGCGATCCCCACAGACCCGCTACGACTTCACTTCATGCATGGGTGTGCTCCTGGTGAGCATGGTGGTGCTGGTCATCTTCGCTGTTCTCTGCATCTTCATCCGCAACCGCATCCTGGAAATTGTATACGCCTCACTCGGCGCGCTGCTCTTCACCTGCGTGAGTGAGGGGCCACCTGGGGCGGGCACGGGTGGGTGGATGGGTCCTTCAGCACTGCATGCTGTCACCCCAGTTCCTGGCAGTGGATACCCAGCTGCTGCTGGGGAACAAGCAGCTGTCGCTGAGCCCAGAGGAGTACGTGTTTGCGGCACTTAACCTGTACACAGACATCATCAACATTTTCCTGTACATCCTCACCATCATTGGCCGCGCCAAGGAGTAGCCCAAGCCCCGGCACGTGGGTGGCGTGGCTGGCTTGGCAGTGCCATCTGGACCTTCCCACTCTCTCCCTGGGCGCAGCCTGGGACAGAGGAAGCCACTCTCCGACCCTCCTGTGTGTACACTGCAGATATTTCCCTTTGGATCTGCTGTGGCCAGCATAGCCCCTTCTAGCCCTCCTGCCCTACCAAAGGGCAGCAGGGCTGGGTTTCTGTGCCACCTCCTTCCCACTCACTGTTGCATGAGCCCTGTCTGCCAGCCCACCCCAGGGGGCAACACCAGGTCCTAGGGGAGAGGGATCAAGCCAAGAAGTGAGGGTGCACGTCTTCCCTCCTGTCCCAGCTCCCTGCCTGGCATAAAGTATCCCCTTCCTGTCCCTACCCCAACCCTGGAGTGCAGTGCTGTTCTCTGGGGAACCTGCGGGGTGAGGGTCTCATCCCTGTGCTGAGTCCTGAGGGCAGAGAGGATAGAATATTTCAGGGGAAAAGGATGCCTTCCTCTCATTCTGCTGTCTTTAAAATTCCAATAAATAGGACCCTCTGCTCTCTGTGCTCTTGTCACTCTTCTCAGTGCCACTTCTTCCATGAGGTGGGGAGGGGCTCTGGGCCTCCCCAGGGTGATGAAGGGAGCAGGACCAGGCATTGATGGTGGGGTTAGCTTGCAGTGGGGATTAATGGCAGTAGCTAATCCTCTATCCATGCTTCCGCCTCCCTCCTTGCAATCTTCCCAGCCATGTCCTAAGGTATAAGCCAGGATTCCCAGCTGATGGACAGGAACCCTGAGGCTCCTGGAGGTTAAGCGAGGTGCCTGGGTGACATGATGGTAAGTGGCCTGGCTGTGTCTGCCACTCACTCCTGGGAACTGCACAGCAAGATGTGAGACCTTTTCCATTCTTGCCCGAGGGGCAGTGGCCTAGGTCACTGACCTACCCTGGGCAGGTCTGTCATGCTCCTCACTCTGTCTGTCCCTGTAAGGCCCCTAGGGAGACCATCCTTGGGCACCTAACGTGCCGCCCAGGCCTGGCTCCAAAGAAAGCCTCCACACCCCTCCGCCCTCCCCACAGAAACCTGCCAGCTAGAGCACCCAGCAGGGAGCTGGACAGAGACTGAGGCTCAGCCAGGTGGCCTTTCGACCTGCCTCTGGCACCTTCCGTTGGCCTCACCAGGCCGCACCCATTCAAGGACCCTCAGCCCCAGCTTGCTCTGCATGTCCTCCCTGTGGCTCTTGCTTCCACAACTCTGGAGCCCCCACTCATCCACACCCTAGCTCTCAGGTGTATGTTCAGATGTCACATAGCTGTCCATATCCTCACCCTTGCTCCCCAGAGAGAGGTCCCTCTGCTGCCCTGGGCCCACCTCTGTCTGAGGACCTCCTTGCCCTGAGCTCCTAACCCCATTGAACACTCCTAACTGCGACCTTCTTCGGCAGGACCCTCCATTCAGCTTAGCTTGAGAACCCTCCTGGGGCTCCTCTACCATCTCCCTGGGAACCCATCGACCTCCTCCTTTAACTGGCACCAGCACCCCAGCGTCTGTGAAAAGATCCACACACTGAGCCAACACACCCTCCCCAATGTCCACAGGCACCTCAGCTGAGGCCATCCTCCCAGCAACCTGCTGCTCCTGCCTTATCTCCACCAATAGTATCCACCCGAGGTGCCCAGGCTAGAACAGGGCTGTTCTCTCTCCCCTCGTTTATCCTGCCTCAACTCCTGTTTCCCTGGCCCACCTTCCGCTGACTCCCAAGGCTCACCTGTCAGCTCAACTCCACCAACCCTCTGCCTGGCCACCAGGTATTTCCAAAACACTGATCACACCACCTGCCTACTAAAACCCTCTGCCCTGACCGGTTTTCTCAGTGGTTAGAGCGTTGGAAGGGCCACAGGTTCGATTCCTGGCCAAGGGCAGGTACCTCAGTTATAGGCTCAATCCCCAGCCCCGGTCGGGCACATGCGGGAGGCAGCTAATGAATGTGTCTCTTACACAGATGTTCCCCCCTCCTCCTCCCTCTCCTCCACTCTCTCTAAAAAAAAAAAAAAAAATCAATGGGAAAAATAGCCTCGAGTGAGGATTAACAAAAACAAAAACAAAAACCCTCTGATGGTTGCTGGTGGGATGAAGTCTAGATTCCTTGCCCAGAACACAGTCTCTATACCATATGTCCTATGCCCTCTGGCTGTTCCATCTGGACTCCCGCTATCCCCTCGCCCTCAACCTCCAGGCCTGACCTTGTACAGCCTGAGCCACAGCAGGCCCCATTTTCCTGGGCTGGGATGCGCACTACCTTCCCACCTGCGCCCCTTCCTGGCATCTGCCTCGCACTTTACAGCAGCTCTCCAGCCACCCTTAGTCACTCTGCTTTGTTCACATGCTGTGCACCAGCAGGTGACATAGCCCCCTTCCCCCACCTCTCCTGGCAGCTATCCTGTTGAACTGGAGCAGTATCTTGAGGGCACCCTTCCCGCCAGAGCTCTAAGTACCTTGGACCCTGCTTAGTGTCCGCTGCTCACAGACCCAGTGGATTTCACACCGAGGAGGAAACAGGTGGCTAAAGAGAACAGCAGTCAAGGCAGAAGGGGGAGCTCAGGCACGAGGATCGAGCAAACTGTGCAAGGACAGTATTTTCTCAGGTTCAAGGAGGTTAGACTTTGGGCTAAGCTAACCCATGAGAAAGGCTCCCTGGGACAGCTAGGGCCTGGATGTGTGGGGCAGGGGCAGGGGCAGGGCAAGGACCAAGAGACCCCTACTGCAGGAAGGTATGCCAGGGCTGCACACAGGTAAAGGCTTGGACCTGTCCTGTAGGTGAAGGGGTCTCTGGCAGGAGTCACAGTTGGGTTTGTGTTTAGGCAGAATGTCCAGGCAATGGTGAGTGGGTGCGAGCGGGTGAAGAAAGCAGGGGTAAGAAGCTGCTGAGGTGTGCCAGAGAAGAGCTAGGAGCGGCACTGGGGGCAGAGGCAGGGGCATCCCAAAGCAGCTTGCAGTGCCAAAAAGAGATCAGGCTGGGTCCAGGGCAAGGCAGGCGGGCATTTCTGTCAATGGACTGTGTTCTGCTTTCTGCTTTTACCAACCCAGGGAGGGGAAAGTGGAGCAGCTTCTGATTTGACTGGGTGGGTGTGCAGGAGGTGCTCACACTGATTCATGAAGCTGTATGGAGCTATAGCAATTGTGAGATCAACCATATTGATTCTTCAGTTGGGGAAGAAGCAGCCTCCAACATTTGAGAGCTGGCCTGGTCCTATCAGCTAGGCCCTGATGTCACTAGGAGCTGGCCTGGCACTCTCAGATATAGGTATTGGTGTCCTCCTGTTTAGAATATAAACAATTTCACACAACACCAATGTCAGACAAAGACCGTCTATAACCTGTCAAGAGGACCACTCTGAAGTCATGTCTGAATAGACAAAACATGAGCCCTGTCCAAGCCAGTAAGCCCGAAAGCGCCCTGCCAAACCTAATCTGAGTGCCACAGCCTCTTTCCAGTAGACAGCCTGCCTCTAGTTTATCCTCCCAAAGGTGTGGAGATGCCCAGTCATGGAATGACTCCCATTCCTGGCAGGATCCAGTCCAGAGCAACACCTGCTTCCTTAAGTCCTTCCCAGTTCACCCAAACTAGCCAAATCCTAGTAAGGCCTTTCTAGCACCCCCTTCCTGTGACTCCCTGCGGTTCCCATGGCTTGCATTCTCTGTTGCCACACAATAGCCCGACCTGTTCAACATTGGTGGCATGTCTGGGGGGCTTACACTGGAGGGCACTGACACAGCTAGCTATTCCCAAAGCCAAAGAAGGCTAATTTATTCTTCGGTCAAAAATGTTTATTGCCCAGCCAGCATGGCTCGGCGATTGAGCATCAACCTAGGATCCAGGAGATGGAGGTTCGATTCCCGGTCAGGGCACATGCCCAGGTTGCAGCTCTATCCCCAGTGGGGGCGTGCAGGAGGCAGATGATCCATGACTCTCATCATTAATGTTTCTTTCTCTCCCCCTCTCCCTTCCTCTCTCTGAAACCAATAATATATATACACACATACACACACGTTTATCTACAGACGTAAGCATTCGGCCCACTCTTGCTTGGCAAGGTGACACGACACAAGTCTGCATCCTCATCACACCCCTGCCCTGTGCAGCAGCACCCTCAGGACCACCGTGAGAGGCAGCCCAGGCCCCCAGCTTGGTGAACACCCACCACAGGTGTTCTGTGTCACCTGCCCAGGGCTACTGTTGAGTGTCTCTGAAGTGGAAGTGCCTTCAGAACGGAGACTGTGAACTGTGCATTTAAAATTGTTTTTAATTCTCAACCAAGGATATGCGTTTTTTTAAAAATTGATTTTAGAAAGAGAGGAAGGGGGAGGGAGAGAGAAAGAGAAACATTGATGTGGGGGAGAAAGGCCTATCAGTTGCCTCCTGCACGTGCCCCAACCAGGGATCGAACCACAACCTGACTGGGAATCGAACCCGTGACATTCCGGTGTTTGGGACAACACTCCAGCCAACTGAGCTATACCAGCAGGGCTGACCTGTGCATTTTAGCACTCAGGCCAGCACCTAGTCCAGGGCCAGGCACACCATAGGTGTCAACCGTGGAATGAGGGGCATGAGCTGGACAAACACTAACTGTCCAGGACCAGGGACAGAGAACACTGCAGACTTCTGGACTTTGGCTTAGCATCAGCATCAGCGGGAGGTGTTTCAGGAGTGCAGCAGCAAAACTGAAAACGCAGGAGAGTCATGGTGGCACATCTGGGGGACCAGGTGGAACAAAGAAAGGATGCAGGGGAGAGTGTGGATGGTGGGGTTAGGTGTAGACAGCCATGCTGTGTTCCGTGCAGGAGTAGGAGATGGTGTTTGATGCCTGCTATGGAGCAAACAACCAAATGCAGTCCTTACAGTCATCATGAGACTGCTGTACCCCACACTGAAGAGGAGGAAATGGTACAGGGGATCATCTGGCTGGAAATGGCTGAGTGGGGACCTTCACTCAGGCTTGTCAGGTCCCAAGTTCCCTGTCTCTATGCCCTTCTCTCCCCTGAGACTTTGTGAACACCCTCTGGGCAGGAATCAGGACTGGGGAGCCTTATTTGTGCTGGGCAACCCTGGCCATGTAAATGGAACCAGTGGGAGCAGAGGTTCCCTGCTTGTCCTGCTGTCCTCCAGGACCTGCAGTGGTGCCTGGCAGGCTTTCACGATCTATGGGCTGACCAGAAAATGCCTCGAGCTCTTGCTCTGTGCCAGATACTACCCTCCTTCTGCAAGCACCACCTCTCTAAGACTCTAAAGTAGGAGGAAGGAGCACTGCTACCCCATGAGACAGGTGAAGGAATAGGGACCTGCCCCCAGCCAGGCAACAAAGCCAGAGCCGGGTGAGCAACTACTCTGATGCTGCTGAAGGAGGCCCTGAGGGACAGCTCAGGAGCTGAGGTCTGGAGAAGGAGTAGGAATCAACTCAGGGTGAGGGTTGGAAGCAACACAGGTCTGAGGTGGGACCTTGGAGTCAGAGGATCTGGAACCCCAACCACATGCTTCCAGTAGCCCACTCCCCTCCTTTGGGGC